CCGCCATATTGTGAAAAGAAACGTTTTGTCCCTAAAAGTGACATTTCCTCCGTCTGGACGCGTCCTCCACGCAGCGCGCGCCCTTCAATCAGACCGGCGGCACTTCCGGTGTTCAGGGTTAAACGCCGGCTTCATTCTACATGAAATAAATCTCCCCCTTGTGCCGGTGGAAGAGGCGGACGCGTCCTTGAAATGCGATGCCGCCGCGTAGCTGCGCGGAGTGTGAATTGGTCCCGGGTGACGACGGCGGAGTAATGTACAGAGAGTCGCCCCCGGGGCGGTGCAGAGGTCACGCTGTTATAATGTCTTCAGAAACCTCGCCGTCCCTCGCCGGCTAAGCCCAGAAAGAGGCCGGGGGAGGGGGGGGCGCGCCAATCGCTGCCCATTCCAGACTGCTCCAAACTCTAACACACATGATTATAGAGTGTCAGCTCCCCCGCCAAGAGACTCCCCGGCCAACCAGACTCCTTCCCCTCCCCCATCATTGTATGTTTTATTGTATTTATAAATGTGTACAGACGGCTCCGCCCACAACGACGGATCTCCGCCGCCAATAAAAATCATCAGAAATGACCCCAAAATATCTCCGGATTTCTTTCAGCTTCTCGACGTCATTTATCTCATTATTATAGTGCAGAGGACGTGCGCCGGTCAGTAATATACACAGCGGCCCGTCTGATTGGAGGATCAGACCATCATTGTAACAAATATCATCAAGAAGAATAATCCTCAAACTATTTATATTATTATCATTATTATTATATTCATCCCGTACAATAATAATAACAATATAAACAGTTTGAGGATTATTATTGTTGCTGTTTTTAATATTAACAATAATGATAATAATCCTCAAACTATTTATATTGTTATTATTATTGTACGGGATGAATATAATAATAATAATGACAACTTATTTTTGTTTCTTCATATTATTATCTCTAAGAATAACACTAATAGTGATAAATATCTCATATTACTACTACCGGAATTATTATCCCCACTAACAGCAACAATAACAACAATAGTATTAATAATAATACCAAGAACAATAATGAGAGTTGTAGTATTATTATTGCTATTAGGGATGATGATGATAATAATTCCGGTAGTTCTTAGAGATAATAATATGAAGAAACAAAAATAAGTTGTCATTATTATTATTATTATATTCATCCCGTACAATAATAATAACAATATAAATAGTTTGAGGATTATTATCATTATTGTTAATATTAAAAACAGCAACAATAATAATCCTCAAACTGTTTATATTGTTATTATTATTGTACGGGATGAATATAATAATAATATTA